ATTTTTATTTTTATTTTTTTTAATTTCCATAAATAAAGCCTACAAATCTTGACCATTGATCAAGAAAATGGATGGTTGAGATTGGTTCACACGGTTTACACAAACGGAGAGGGTTCGCATTTGAACGCTCCTCTATATATATATATATATATATATATATATATATATATATATAATCCTTCTCATTAGCCATGGTGGGGAAGTCTTTCTATGATCCTGCTAATGAGTATCCAAAGGATAAAAAGCCTTTAGCATCCTACTACTTCAACAAGGTTGTTGACTATTTTAATCCCCCCAAAAAGATTGACCCTAAACATTTTCATTGTAAGCGTAACTTTACACTGTTTGGTTACCCTGACGATCATAATGCTACTACCAAGTCTGCAACTACAGGTACAAGTACAAGTACAACCAAGAATACTATGGCTGCAGCTGCAACCGATAGCTCCTCGACCATGCGTTCTACCAATAAGAATGGTACCACTACCATGAGATCTGCAGATGCAACCCACACCTCCTCCTCCTCCACCAAGCCTTCTTCCAAGAAGAATACCCCATAAACCCACTGACCGTCTATCATCTGATCATACAAAGAAAATGATCCACTATTCAAACTCTACACCCTCCATCCTTCTCCAATCTCATTCTTGTTGTAAGCTTAGTTCTATTTGTCATATATAATTACGTCTCTTTAACTATTTCATCTACTTCTTTCCTGATCGTCGTGTTCAATTTCAAGTTAATTTGATATGTATACATATTATATATATATATAAATATATATATATATATATATAGGTGGAGGTTCAAACGAGAGCCCTTGTGATTTACGAGAATGCGAGAACAATTAATAACCTCAAACTTTTTTAATTAATAAATTAACTTATATTAAATATAAATAAATTAATAAGGGCAGTAATGTAATTAATTAAGTTTATAAATTTTGTTTTATTTTAATTAGTCATAATTATCCATTTTTTTTCCTGCACGTTCTTTTCCACTCTCTCCTCTCCCCTTGTGATAATTGTGTGATGTATAACCATAACCTATCGAAACCATAATCAATGAAGTGTAACCATAACCTATCGAAACCATGAGTAATCGTTGTGATAAATATGTGATTGTCTAACCCTAACCGATTGAAACTATGATCAAATTTAGTGCGCAAGTGATGTTATAATAGTGATATCACATGATTATCACAC